AGGCCGGTTCCATTTTTCCACTGATGCAGGGGGCGACAGGGCCACGGGGCGACAGGGTCACTGCATAGCTGTCGCCAACGAAGCTCTATGCAGATGACCAGGATGCAGGGACTGATCATCCCTGTGTACCTGCAACTGAAACCTTTGACCACGCTGTCTAATCTGCTTGGTTTGTTTCCATGGTTCTTCATGATTCTTTCCCTTAAACAGGTTTCCCACCGCACCTTTCAGCAACTTATGCACTGCATTTCGGCCGCGCGAGTGAAACACTTGTTCAACAATACAAGTCACCGGACCCTTTCACCTTGCCGTTCCCTCACCTTCCTTCCCAACGTGGCAATTGAGTCTAACTGAAAACCCAAGTTCGAAGTGTGACACCCGCGTGGAGTCACAGGGATTCTTTTGAATTGGTTTTATTATCTTGGTTCTATTGCAGCAGGGGAGTGCGGCATGGTTGTGGGACCGCATTCAACGAAGCTACCACAATCATGGGATACCGAGTCTGATCAACTCGGCGTACCTGCAGTTTTACCTGAACACCTTCCTCGTGGTCCCTGCTTTTAGGTAGAATCTAGAACAAGAAATTTCGGCCACTGCGTCGATTTGCATCGGCAGTCACACATTTGACTTTGGAGCTTTGCAACTTGGAGGGCTTTGGCCTCATGGAGGGTACCGCTGTTTTTTTTCAGATTCCTTATTCCCTGGAGACTTAGGTTTTTCACTTAGGCTGGCGTGTGGCAAACCGCAATCGAGTCAGTAGGCATTTCCTAACTGTGTGTGAGTTTGTGTCAAGCCCTGTTCCAAAGGGACTTTAACTTTAACATGCAATGCACGAGGCTTTCTCGACTCTAGCCACCGAAGCTAGAAAAATGAGTGGAAGAGTCTGTGGACGCACAAACCTGTACCTGCTATTTGCCGTGCTTATGGCAATTGAAGATTCTGTGGTTCCAAGCCGATGGTCAAGCTGTTCCCATTCGGTGATCCGCACTAAAGGGCCTGCTGTCAAACCAGCTTTGGGCGCAGAATTCACACTCATTTCGCCATCATGCCGTTGAACTCTTTAATCGCCACTCCTCCCAGTCATGGTTCTTCCTTCTGGCTGTTTTTCTTGTCTCTCCTTTCTTCTCCTTTCCTAGAGGCTTGTTGGGTGTAATGCGGGTTGCGCCGGACATACGCGATTTGGGCTTTGTTCGTGTTCCCCAAACACACAGTTCCTGACGGAACACATCTTCTAATTTGCTGTTCGTTCGGCGCTCATGCTCTGGAGCTTGCACTTTGTTTTCCTCTCCTTTTCTTTTTCCTTTTGTTCTTGGTTCTCTCTCTTTTTACAGGCTTCCTGGGCTGTAAACGGAGTTTCGGTCAAGGGTGTTTGCGTGTGTCAAAACATGGTCCAAAGGGACTTTAACATACAATGCAGGGGGCTGCGGGCTAGCGGCTGGTTTCTCGACGCTAGCCCAGCGAAGCTAGAGAAATGAGTGGAGGAGTCTGGGGGCTCACAGGTTTCTAGCTCCTATTTGTCATGCGGATGGCATTCTGAAGATTTGTGATATTAAGCAATCGTCAAGCTGTTATCATTCGGTGTTTCGCACTATAATGCAGTAGAGTGTGCCAATGCATTCACGAACACTGCAATCATGTTTTTGCAAATTCTCTTCTAAGTGTGTGTGCTTTTATGGTTCTATGCAGGATGGGATGGGAGGTTGTTTGATGTTGTTTGTGTTTGCAGTGGAGCTTAGAATTCTTACCACACCAGTCCCAGTACAGTTCTATCTAATCCTGGAATCATCTAAACACTTGGCCGTCCAAATTGGCACTGAAGATGTGGGGCGGGCAAGTCCCGACTTGTTCCTAACGCTTTATCGCTATGTACATTTTTTTTAGATTGCGCTGCAGCTTTCAGATTTGTTTTAATGTTTAAATGTTTTGTCATGAATGAAAGAACAAACAGTTCCAACAACAGTAAACCTAATTACTCAGCCCTGCCTCCACAAAACACAGTTTCTAAGTTCACCAATTTACCTTGACACACCAAATAAATCGGGGGCCTTGCACATTTCTCAGTGTTGCCAGGCCGCTTGGAACAAGGATTCAGATGCTGAAGAGCGGGATGCCTGACATGGATAGTCCAGAGAATCTTTGTCAGTTGTCTGTGAAACTCGATGATGTAACTCAAAGCACTCAAGAACTCGATAATGAATACACAAACTCCTTTGGTTAGGAATGGTGTTTGAACACTTCGGCGTTTGACTTGCTCTTCAGCCGCTGGCGGCTACTTGGAATGCCCGAGGTTTGGCATTTCGGTGTTCCTGACGGCAGTGCATTGCAAGGACTTTGTCAAGGCTCAGCAGGCCGACCTTTCCGCGACCATTCGTGGCAGTGGGTTTCGGCAACGGTTCTTGGCCACTAGATCGCTGAGAATCAGGTGGCCAGCAAGCTCTACCAGAAGCACAAAAAGTCTCAATACCTTTTGTGGGCTAATGCCTCAGCTTTCAACCTAGCACCAAATGAATGGAAACTAAACGCAAACACCATAAACAGATTGATGATTGAGGGCCTTACAACACCTTGAGGTTGTTGCGGCTATTCTACTGCAGGTTCGGGTGTGGCTTGCGTGATTAAAGGCCAAAGACCGTGAAGCATGCAGTTTGCAATTATATATATAAACAGAGTCAGCAACCTTCAGTAGCATTCATGCCGGAGATCAGGGAACAGACTTGAGATGGCTGATCACAAGGCAATGACATATGATGAATATATCAACATAAATACTATATAAATATACAGCTGGTGATTGTAATCATGAGCACAACATGTCACGCGCAATAGCTGCCAGGCGGGCGCTCCGCCCAAATTGTTGGACCTTGCATCTATGTTTCTGCAAAAGGCACATTGGATTCTTTGGTACATCGAGCTCTATGTTGAGCCAGTGGTTCTTGCCAGTGGTGTAATGCTTCTGTTCAGCACTGGGGCAAGCAGTGGACTGGGTCTTTGGCATGAGGACGTAGGCAAACACGAGAAAATCTCAGGATGGCCTCGGGACTCATGAGCAATTTCATTTTTGCAGCCAGCAGACTTGGAACGGGATGAGGCCATAGGCCCCAAACACCAAGTCTTACCATTCGCTCGGAGCAACCAGGCTCCATTGGACCTGGCTTCTCTGAAGGGCAAAGTACCCTTCAACCGAGGCGCTGCGTTTTGAGATTCGCAGATAAGACTCATTTGGACATGGGTTTGTGTGGTGAGGCCCATGTTTTATGAAAGAGCCTGGAGGGCATGACAAAACTTTACCTTCTTTGTGGGGTTCATCATAGATCAATAGGTTCAACCTCGGTTACTGCAATACGTAGCCTGCCATGGCGAATGGGTTCTTTGGCCGTACATGAGAAGTCTACCGCCCTCACTGCGGGCCAAAACATGAACCAGTCTTTGTTGTCGAAGAGTGTAACGCAAAAGCATCTGAAGGCACAGACAGGACATGAGTTGTCTCGTGGACTGGAGCAGACCAGTTTTGCTGATGCAGTGTGTGCCCTGTGGTGAGGCCAACTCTACTTGTTTTTTCTCCACTTGGGCACCTTGCAGCTGCAGCAGAAGCAGGCAGGTACTTACTAGCTAACTGCATTATATTGGCCTAGATGACATCAGCATTTGATCCATAGGACTGCTATCGTAAGGGATCCTTTGTCTGACTTGTGCAAAAGAGGATCAACCAAAAAGGATTAAGTAGTAGCCTTTGTGTATGACTCAGTGTATGACTCATATGAGTAATGTTGAACATTTGCAGACAGACACCTCTGAATTGAAGGATTCCGGGGCCCGAAACACCTGTCAGGCCGAGGCGTTGCAACTCCTGGAGGCCCAGGGTACGGAGGGATCCGAGCATGAGCCAATTTATCCTTCGGTACTGATTTGTTTGATCATAGAGGACAGAACTTCTTTCAAACCTGCTCCTGCGTATGCTAATTTGGGGCGAGAAATTGCACAGGATGAGATCCAAGAATTGTACATTCAACTGTGCACAACTGTGCTGCCTTCAAACATCACACTTCACGCACCTGCCTAGCAATGAGGTGTTAAGCCGATCACTGTCATAGGATATGCTGATATGCTTGATGTATCTTGATGTACCCAACTCATCATAACTCATTGACTTCACCGGGTTTCTAAATGTTCATGTTTTGTCCAGAGCTTCGAGAAAGAAACCAGTCACCTGTTGACGTCTCCGCCAAGGACTGCCAATCCCTCCTGAAGCTGCCCTCCGATGTCTCTGCCCTGCGGGCCGGGCCCTTTTTTGGTCGGCCGCGCCGAAGAGAAGCGGTCGCCAACCAAACGGAAAAGAGAAGCTACCGTCGACTTCAGTCGAACAAGTCCGACTCTGAATTGATACAGTAGAATTGACATGGCTTTGCTGCCACTAGCCAAAGACCTTCTGAGGTCCGAAAAAACTGTGCAGAGACATGCGACTGTCATTGAACATCCACCCTTGACCGTGATGCGCGCGACCCTTGCTTCGACGACAAATCAAGGTCCAGCTTCTATGGGAGGCGAAAGAAATCAGGGAGGGAGGGTAGCTGGGTCCATCTGGGTCCAAATGAAAGGTGGTTAAGAACGCATACACGCACACACACACACACACATCCCTCTGACTCCTGTATATGGTGGTTCTTTTTGGTTGGTGAAGTCATTCGCATAGCTAGAAGTGAACCAATTCATGGAATGACCGTTTTCTCTGAGGTTTGCAATATGTATACAAATATGGACCGCGTGAACGGCGTGAGCAAAACATACGTCGCATTCTCATTCCGTTTGGACGTGGAGCATCAAGACTCGACGACCAATGGGCATAGGGTCTCCGAATGCCAGGCTGGTCGCCGGAAGGAGGCGGTCTGCGAGGCGGGTCGGCCATTGGAGGGAAAACAAACACGGTGGGCGAAAACAGCTGTGAGGTACCGTCCTCTTCGGTCCCAGAATGTCCCAGACAAGCATTTAAGGCCCTTGGACTTGATATTGGGAAGAAGTAGAATGTAGAGAAATGTTGTGAGCTCGCACCAAGTGTAGGGGACTTGACAGATCGATCCTTTCTTTGCAGCAGATCTAGTTTCCTGATCGATCCAGCTTTGAATCTGTGGAGTTATCGGAGTCGGGGTCATCGTCTTCTAGAGTCACTCGCAAGGCACGGGAGCAGCTGGTGGCCAATCCAGGTAGTTGGGCTCATGCACAGGAGTGTCTCACGCTGTTCGGCTGGTGGCTTTTTGGGAATCATTGGGAGCAGAAGCAGGAACATTATGAATCATCGGAATCATTGGGATCTAAAGTTCCTTTTTCAGGATGACGCCGATGAAGTTCACCCCGGTCACCGTGGTCACCCCGGGTCATTAGCTTTGGCCACACTGCCTTAGGGCCAAATTAGATGATCCATCCATATCCATCATCCATCTACTAGTAACAAGTGCCACGCTAGTAGTAACAAGTGCCTTACTAGTAGTAACAAGAAGCTACTAGGAACAAGTGCATCGCTTCTAGTAACAAGTGCCACGCTAGTAGTAGGTCAGGGACCCTAAGGACGACACTGCGGTTTCGGGGTGGCGACCGGTTTCCCGGTCCCTTCCAGGACTATGCTCGAATGGTCTTCGACTGTGAAGGAGCTCAGGCCTGGCAAGCACTGTTTTGCTGTTTTGGGTTTAGGGTTCTCGAGGAGGACACGAACAATCTACCACAGTCTACCAATTGCCATCAATTAGTCGTTATTCTTTGTTGAATTTTGTTGATGTCGACCGGTCATCCGGCCAAGCTTAAGTGGTCTCAGGCTGGCCGCTTGGTTGATGTGGACCCGGTCGGGGCACTTGGGGCGGTGCGGCGGCAGAAGAATCTACCAGGGCATTCTAGAACATTCTAGAGACTCGGAATTGAGATCTTGAAGCACGAATTGATGTGTTCTAAGAGCCTCAGAGTGAAGTCCTCCAATCCATGATTTGTGTTCCCTTGCCATCCAGCATCGCTAGACACCAGACGCTTGTCGGTTCAAAACCACCGATGCCCCTTGTACCTGACTGCACTGGTCGTGAACGCCGCTCGTCTCCGATCGTGCGACGCCAGGTCGAGTCCATGGAGGAGGTGGATGCCCGTCGCACAGAAGATGAGGCATTTGAAAGTGATTCAAGTGGCTTTGCTTCAAGATGTTTCAGGCTTGCTGTAGAAATGGGGAAAGACGGGGAAAAAGGCTTGAAGGCTTCATTGCTTTGCTTTGGGCTAGTTGGGGCTCCTTTATTTCTCGAGTTGCCGCTGGCCACTGGGTGAATCCGCTTATTGATGTCATTCAATGATTGTGTAACGTGATGACGAGGATTACAAGGATGAAGGGAATAAATTATTCGTGGATGATCAAATGTTGTATTCGTTTGCAAGACATGTTATTCAACGATTCAAAGAGCTAAACCATGGGAGTCTTACAGAACCAGAACTGAAAGCCTTCGAACTGGAGAGGGGCGTGACAGTGGACTTCCAGTGTGCACATGGTGTTGTGGCATCTCACTTCCAGCATCTTCCAGCAATGTTGGGTCCTTGTGTGTGTGCGGGTGTGTGTGTGTGTGTCTTTGTGTTGAGCGAACTGGGGCAGGTGCAGAATGCCCTGCTTCTCTTCCGCCACTTCCAGCAGGTGAAGGACGGCGAGCTGGAGCTGGATGTAACTCTTGGGGAGCTGAGACCCAGCTCAAGAGATCCAATCGCAATCCTGATTGTACTGGATTTGACTCAGTGTACAGTTCGGTTCTCACTGACTACAGTGTCCCTCCTGTCGACTAGTAAAACAACTGGCATCGCTACTAGTAACAGGGGCATTGCTACTAGTAACAAGGGCATTACTACTAGTAGCTAGAAGCTACTACCAGCAGGGGCATCGCTACTAGTAACAAAGTTCTTTTCTTTTTTTCCCGGCACTCATATATCGATGGTACACGGTTTCCATTTTCATAACCTCCGAGGAGCAGAGCGTGGCCACGGGCGGTGGCAGTGGGGTGAATCGCGTGGCCTTCCTGGGAGAGCTTGAGCTGCGCAGGTCGGTGGATGACTGGATACAAGTGGGGAGTGGGGAAGTGGTGCTGAGATTTTTAAGAAATCAAGTTGGAAAAGGCGAGAGTCTTCCTATGTATTCCTAGTATTTCCTAGTATTCCATTTCAATATATTTCAATCATTTGATGATACATGCTGTTTGAAAAGGTGCTGAATCCTGGATTTGCAGGTCTATGTTAAGTGGGAGAATTCTGTCCAAGCATGTTTGATCACGCATCCCTTGGAATCTTCTCGAAGGTGGCTTTCTGTGATTTGCTTGAGTCTTTGAATGGAGCAATGAGGACGCGATTCCTTCACTTTGCTCGCAGCATGTTGGAACGCAACCTCCAGTGGATAGGTCCTCACATTGTGGCCGCCACAACAGTTCAACTATGTTCAACTCGTGAACCTGTACGATACCTGCCCAAGTTCTTGAGACTCCGTCTAGAAGAGGGAGAACCACGAAAGTTGAGCTGAGCAACACAGCGACATACAACGGCACTCGACTTTGAACGGATGGATCTGTGGCCATGGTAGCTGGTTATGCACAGACACCGATCAATGAAGAAATCGGAGATATAATATGAAACAGTTGGCAAGTTGTAAGTTCAATGCAGATCTTCTTCAACCTGTCTTGACCGATAGCTGGTCAGGTGTGCTTTAGCTATGTCCGGACCGGACGAGGCCAACCATACAGAGGAGACGATATAGAGAACGCGGGGGCGGAAGACGCTGTCTGACCAGTCGACAGAAACTCAAAAACAATCATAAACAATCTAAGTACAGCAAAAGGCGCACTGCTTGTGGTTGTTGCTGACATCCATGGCCTATCACAAGTCGTCGAAGAGGCAGTTTTGTTTCAACTTTGTTACTTCCGCCTGACCGAAGCGTCGATTTACGGTTGAAAAGTCGATTGACCCAGCGTCCAGCTGACTGAGCTGCATGTCTGAGTTGATTGAAACTTTGTGGACGTCTAGAGTCTTTGACGGAGTCAGGTTTGAACTTTGTGTTCTTTGGCCTTGCTAGAGCGCCCCCCGTCGATATTGACACTTGGAAGCAGAATAATTTCTTTCAGATTCTTTAAGAGCTACACCGACACATATTGACACTGTAACCAAGAAGTTTCCCTAAACATCCAGGAACCAAATGAACAGTGCGAGCGCTTCTTCAAGGAAGAAGGGTGAGCTATCCTGCGTCCTGTCGGTAGTGGCGTTCTTGTAGCTACTAGCTACCTACTACCTACCTAGCTACAGCCATGCCCCCCCCACACAAAGAATCCTTAACTTGAACTGCTTTGCCTTCGACATTTGAGTGTTGTCTTCGGAGGAGCTTTTGAAGGTCCTTTCGGCCTTCATCCAGCACTTCTCCGGGAGGCAGAGCATTTTTTTTCTAAATAAAAGGGACATTTGTTGAGGGCATGGTTTTGAGCATGTGTCGAGCTCTGGGAGAGGATGTTCCCTATTCCCAAGTATTTTTGAGGTACTATGATATGGTACTATCATAAGATGCATCCTCATGTGTTTTTAGCTTGCATCGCCGCATCGCCTTTATGCCACGCCTGCCAAAGCACTTGCACTCTGGAGGGCTCATTGCTTTTTCGACCTCAAGCCGCACTTGTCATGTCTCTCAGCCGGTCACCAAGAGATTCAAGACATCCGACAACATCATTTTCAGAGAATTTCAGAACCCCACTCTCAGCAGCTCTCTTTGGACAATCTCCGTTTCTGAGGCGGCAGACGCGTTGCCTTTGCTCTCGGCAGCTGGACAAGCGTTTGTCTCAGAATTCTTTGAAGCTTTTCGGGATCAAGGTTGACATTTCTGGATTGAAGTACACATATTCCTCATGATTTCTCCATTTACCACTGGAGTTTTGAACCACCAGCCTCCAAATCCCAAACGCCTGGCAGAAGCTGCAGGGCCGCGAAGCTGTGGTGCTCACGGCACGGCTCCGTCGGGCCTTTCGACCAGTGGGACCCTCGAGAGGGGTCGATGGGGATGATGGGGCGAGGTGTGTCAGAGGTTTATGTCCATATCTCCTGAGAGTCGGCAAGTCATATGGACAGAAACCTACCAGAGATGGACATCAACATGCGTAAACCGATAAACCTTTGTTCCTCCATATGATCATCTCCTATCTGTTGAGATGGTTGTCATATGGTAGATTAGTGGTTAGTAGTTCTACCATCATCTATAATATACCAGGAGATGATCCTCAGGGTATGCCTTTAGTCTACCTGTAGAACAGAGGGTCATCTCTTGTTCTACCATCATCTATCATCTACCATCTACTGTTCCAAGAGATGCCTAATATTGTTCTTCCTGTTCTTTCCTGCTTGCCCCGAAAAAAAAAAAGGAAGAACAAGATGGACTGAACACAAGTGGAAGATGGTCCCGACTGACATCCACTCAAAGGAAGAAAGATGGTGCAAAACATGGCCTAAAGCCAAGATGCCATGACTTTGTGACTCCATGGGGGGTGACTTGATGTTCTCAAGCGCTCTTCCACCGAAGCTCCATGCGGGCATGCGGTCAGTTAGGCTCATTTGCCAGAAGATGCGAGTCAGAGATCTGCTGCAGAGGCCGCGCTTCCAGCCGCTTTGGGGCCCCTTTTGAAGTCAGCAATCAAGAAAGCTGACCAGGACAGACGAGGGACAGACTTGCCACTCTGGTAGGCAGAAGGGTTTGGTGCATAGGCAGCAGACAGGGAGGTAAGCATGCCACAGCCACAGGTGTTGGAAGCTCGCCGATTGATTGAGAGCTGGCAGGAACTGGGAGGCAAGGTGTGTTGGCAGGAACTGGGATGTCCAATTGGAAGGAATATCGCAGCAACAGGTTTTGTGATGCTTATTGTTTGTGGGGTCTCCCAGCAGCTGCCACCACCTTTGTCACTTGAGCGGGTACATGAAGACTGCAACAAATTGGATTACAACGATTGAATCTTGCCAAGTCCGCTGAGCACAGCTTTTATGAATGATCCAATGGCTTGCCACTGACCATTGGGATGCATTGTTCAGCAGCTGATTCTCGATCACAGCAATGATGCGGTAGCAGCTTTAGCTGTTGTAGGGGTTGGTTATCCCGAGCCCTTTGTTTGAAAGAATCTTTGAGTCATCGAATCGATTTCGAGTTTCCAGCTCCAGCTGCATTCCAGGTGCTGCAGGTGGGCCTGAAGCACTACTCCAGTTGGCAGTTGGGGACCTCTACTTGTATGATCGCTTGCGCTGTAGAGACGATCAAGATATATCAAGATTAACTTATGCATGTTGGTCAGAACCTGGACCCTGCGACCCTGCAAGCACTGGTAGGTGTAACGTCGGGTAGACATGTCGTGCCGGGAATGGGGCCAGACGTACATGGGGCGCTTGATCCCCATCTTCATGTGTACGCGAGGAACCAAACGAACAGAACCTAAGGCTTCCTAAAAGGTTGATCATAGCAAGTTGTTGTCAGCTGTTCTTGTACCTGTTCATTGGATCACAGTGGCCCGGAGGTTTCTATTTCGTCGGACATTTTGCCTCCCTCATCAAGGCATCGGTCGGCACTGAGGTGGTGGCTTTCATCGAGGCTGACCGGTGGTCTTGCAACAAGGCACGGGCCGAAGCGGGACGAAGTGGAAAGAGAAAGCGGCAACCGTATCAAGCGTCGGATGTCAGAGGAATGGGTGGGGTCTTTGCGGCATGACGATGGTTTGGCTTGATCTTCCTGCGCTCCCCCTGGTCATATTTGTGGTCATCCTTCTAACTTCGATTCTAAATAAGGCTTTGTCCATCGCTACTGGTTGTAGCTTTTGGCAGTATTTGCCTCAAGTGAAGCAGGTGCATGGTGCACCTCAAGAGCGGTGCATGCGTGGTCTTCTGCACCCGCTCTGGCCGCATTTGATTTGGACTTGCGACGCAACAAGGTCGCTTTCAACTGGCGTTGTGAGGCCTTCTAACAGACCGGAAGAACGCCTCTGGGTCAGGGTGCTTCCACCTTCCCCTGGTCCGCCGATTGATGCCGACTTTGCTTCTAGTGTCTCTTTGTTAGCCAGACTTGTGGAGCAGGCGTCGGGGTATCGCTTTCTTCGCTACTGATGGTTCTGCGCAGGAAAAGGTTGCTGCCTGGGCGGTGTATGTGCCTATAGTGCCGACAGCAGGTGCTGCTGCATGGGGTCAAAGCTGAAGATCAAGTTTCTTTTCGCGCTGAACTGGAAGCTTTGATTAAACTTTGTGATGCCATCTTAGCTGGTCTCAGAAAACCGGATGTTCACTGCAGACATGTTGTCATCGCGGTGGACAACAAGTCGGCCATTGGCATTGCAGATGAGTGTTATCACGCTGAACTTGGGTCCTGTCGCGTGGCAAAGTTGCCCCCAGATGGATCCCTTATGTGCTAGCTGGTGAATGCGCTTTGAGAACTTGGAATTGCCACGCCGATCATTTGGCGAACGCGAAACTTTGAGCAGTGGAGAAGCGCCCGAGATTGGGAATTGAAGGCTTTGACAGCTGCTTTGGCCGCTGACCAGCTTGATCGACAATTTCTGAATGTCTAAGGTCTGTGAATTTCTGCAGTCAGGACATGAGTGTGCTCAATCAATCAAACAATCAACCAGTTAGGAGTATTTTTGTCTAATGCTCATCAGGAATAATTTGCTTGGGATCCCTGTGGCAGGGGGTGGGGGTCACTTAGGAACAATAGTTACCACATTAGAAAAGGGCCAGTGTTTGGGGCGTGGCTTAGATCTCTTTCCCTCTACTCTAACACTCATCGAGCAGGGTGATCTGGCAGAAGCTGGCAGGCCAATCAAGACCAACTGAACCAAAGTAGACAGATTTGAACTTTGAGTTGGCAAAGCACTTATTCCTTTTTGAACTGAAGCACTTAGGGCCCGTTTTCTCATGCCTGGCAGATTCCAAAGTTTTGTTATGACAAAACTAAGCACAAACAACAAGAAGCAGAAGAGAGCAAAAAAGGACGCTAACGACAAGGGCCTCTATAGAATTGACGAATTGGAGCCCCTGGCAATTGCAAAGAGGTGACATGTTCACTCTTTAAAATTGAAGAACCACCACCAAGAAAAACCAGCCGTGAAAATCTCAAGGGCGAGGACAGCAAAATGCAGATGTTGTGGCACCCAATTCTGTAGAGACCCATTTCAGCTCTGACCTGCTGTTCATCGGTATTTTTGGTTCCCTATTTCCAAAGCAGGCCAAGAGTGAGACAGGTTTAAACTTGCTGTTCCTGGATTCTATAGAGGTGCATCTTTGAATGAACTTCATGACATCTGATTCTATAGAGGGCCCTCCCTACATGGAGGTTGGGTACCCCATTGAAATGCCCCATTGAAAGTTTATAGAATTGGGGACCATGAGATACCGGCCTAATTCCAAAAAGGATGCAAATTACATTCATGATGACGATTAACCCAGCTGACAACCTCAATAGCAAAGCATCCACCAAGATTTGGCGAATCTTTTGGGTGGTTGTTTGCTGACGCGCTGCTTGTACACAGCTTTCAAAAACAAAACGACATGTTGAAATGCAATCCCATAGTTGGCACAGAGAGTTGCAAAAAGAAACGACATCCGACCAAAAATAGATGTACCGAGCCAACACCAAACCATGACCGAAACACCGCCAATTACCGAGACACCGCGCAACATGACCGAGACACCACTCAAACATGAGCGAAACACCGCCCAAACATGAGCGAGACGGGCGGGTGGCCGTGGATCCAACGGCGCCCGGCCGCCTAAAAAGTGCACAACCCCAAGCTATCGGCTATTGGAAAATAAGTGTAGTATTGTTTTTGCAATATGTGTGAGAATCAAGGCCAGCTGGGACTGTGTGCTGTTCAAGTTTTATAGCGTCTTGAGATAGGCCACAGACCGGCAGCACCTTTTGGATGCCATTGCGTGCCGTCCTTGGGGCCAAGACTTGTCGAAAGAACGGCTGAGTCAGACAGAATTTGTTGAATAAAGTCTTCCGTCTAGTATGGGAACAGTACGAGAACAGCATGTGGTGCAAATGGTGAACTGGCTGTAGGGAATGTCATTGTCGCTGCATGAGGCTTGCACACATGGGCCTTGCGCAACAACCTCTTGCCTTTGGTTTCAAGGCGTTTGTGGCAGATTCAGCAAGTCCCCTGCAATTGTCCTCATTAGCTCCATGGAATATGTTGTTTTCGCATGGTGTTTGTAATATAATTACTGTGTTCGTGGTCCAAATCGTACAAACAAGACTTGCGACTGGCGACGAATTTCCTCTTACCTTTCTTTGTGTTTTCTTGCAAGGGGCAAATGATAGATTTGATTGACAAACATCAACCGCTGACTCCGTTTGATTCTTCTACTCTGAATTCACACCCTTACCTTCGGAACAAGCAAGCAAAGTGGTGCTCAGTGGTGTGGTGACACGATCAGGTGCTGCTCTTGCTGCTCTACAAAGCCCTAGACCTCCCACAACTGATGATGAAGTTGTCGCACGGTTGAATATGCCAACGGGGGTGGTTAAGGGTAGTAAAAGATGCAGCAGGGTGACGACGGCAGAACTAACCATAGCATGGACGGGGAGCAAAGAGATTGATTTGGACTGCCAAAGAACAGTGCAAACTTCCAAAATGGAAGGCCCTGCCACAGTGCGAACACCTTTGGTTTCATGGAGTTCTCTTTGGTTTCAGTGTGCCAAAACTAGGCGCGTCACTTAAAGATCCAGGCGATAGGACTCGTCGCAGATTCGCGTCACAGCGAGGTTTAGCACCATGGACATCAAGAATATCCAGGCTGGATGCCTTGCTGCCTTTGCTCTGGCTCAGCAGGAAAGGCTGATGATGGACCCTAGAAGTTAATAATTTATGTTGACATGGGCAGGAAACGGCCTCAGACTCGTTGGTGTCATTGCATGTTGTGCTTGGCTTTCAGGTGTCATTCCTAGGCTGCAGATGGCTTCAGCTAATTTTACTAACTTCTCAGGCTGCACTTGGACCTTCAACAGTACAGAGAGAGGAGAGCAAAATGAGTAGACCCCCGATGTTGCATTTGTGCAGTTGTGCCGGGCAGTACCGTTGCACTATGTTGCACCACAATCTGAGAACTGATTGTATCATATTGTATCTGATTGTTGCCAAATCCCCAGATCTTGTTGCCAGGCGTTGCCTAGATCTGAAGCTAGATCTTTCACATTAGCACATGTCTAGTCGCATGTCGCTGATTCTTTTTTTGGTCTTGGACTTTGTCCTCTAGACCCTTGGTCTTTATGTTCCCCTTTGTTTGCTTTGATCCCTCCAGAGTTTTCCCTTTTCCCGACCGTCACAGATCTCAGCGGACCGACCTTCGCGTTGTTCTCCGATCCTCTCCACCCTCGATGCCCGAACGCCATGGACGATGCCAGCGAGGAATCGGAGGACTCATCATTGGGCGGAGGAACCCATACAAACCCCAAGAACAGAAATAGAATAGAAGGAAATGCCAATACAAAAACAGAACACATACAATAATATTAACCGATATGTAGTTATTTAGTTTAGTCTACATGTATCTTTATTGGCTGAATGAGAACAAGTCCCGGGGTTAGACCCGTTTTGTAGCTTCCTTGCACCCGTCAGCATTTGCTGGTGGATGTTCCCCAAGTGTAGGTTTCCTTGGCTTCTAATTGAATCATACCATATCAATACCGTTTCTTTAGACTAAAGACATCAGATGCCATGTCCTTTTTTGTATTGGTCGTGATACTGGGTTCATACTGATCCACTGGAACCACCAGAATCAAGCTGTTTGGGTGGATAAACTCTTCCAGTTCCTCAAACAGCTCCTTTGCTGCTTGCGGGGCTTTGATCCAAATTCGCAGCCCTGAGTAGTACAGGGCAGGCGATGAAATCATAATATGGTGCTTGTCAAGTTGTCAGGCTTGTGTTCACTAGACTTAGATCATCCTTGTAGGTATGCGCTTGTGCAGTCCCTTGTCGCTTGAGCGCTCCCGGGGAATCGTTTGCTCCAGTCCGGTGCCTGCAGATTGAAAACACGAAGCTAATTTCCCAGGACGAAGCGCTACAAGACTCCCTTTTTGAGGCACTTTGTACACCAGAGCCGTGCCTCGGAGAAGCACAGAAGCGAACGCAAGCCATCACGCGTCGCATCGCATCGCGGAGTCCAGTCTGGGGTGGGTGAGCATAACACTCTGTGAGTAGACTGATAGCATTTTGATCCCAGAACATCACCAAGGGGTGATTGAAAGATAGAATAAAGTCACCATCCGGCTGGGATGTTGGCTTATGCTGACTTATGGGGAGCGGTAGACCTCTGAGTGCTTAGATCACAACCTTGCCTTCTTACACTGAAAGGGCCTCCCTCTCGTAGTTTTATCTTGTTTTCCAGGTCCTTTTGCCAGAAACACTCCTCAGCCCAAAACCCTGCACCTGCCTCCGATAGTTTGCAGATTCCCAGACCAAGCTCCTTCGAAAGACTAGGATTTAAATCACTACGCACATTCAATCGTATGAGCAGGTGATGCCTAGTCTACATGTTTCGTTTGCAGAGACTTATACAATATATACTTACTTATTTTGGAGGTTTGTCAGAATCAGGGAGCATCGTTGCAAGATATGTTTGTCAGAGGATGCTCCACTATGAATTCCAGTACTCCAAGGCATCTGCAGGTATCTCCACGTATCCAAGGGATGACAGGCATTGAGAGTTTCAGACTTTCAAGATTCAGGGGGGGCTTTGCTTCGTTCGGTGCCGAGGCAGCCGGAGCCCACGCCCAGCTTCTCTCCGCCACACGGCACAAGAGTGTAGCGAAATATGGCGCGAATCAAAATGGTGGAGAAAGAGCCTTGAAGCATATGTTACCCCAAAGAACCCAACCCGCATATACCCGAATGCTCTGGAATGGCCGGCTTTTGAGCCGTGTGTGAGGTGTAGTCCAGTAATCAGCAATGTGTTATTGGAGAGACTCATGATGATCTATACTATACTCTATCCTGTAGACTTGGACTTTGTTGTTGCGTGCATATGATCCAGTTGAAGCCAATTCCATTGTGGTTTCGCTAAAGGAACGACCAGGCGAGCACAGATGTGGTCTTCACTTGTTTTCCACTTCTACAAACTCTTATTTGATGTGAATGTGTGGTTCTTCCAAAATGATGTTGAGTTCCTTTGAAGCAACGCTGCACAGAATTGGAACTCTCTCTCCATCTCTCTCCCCTCACTTCAAAACAGGAAATTCTTTGTTTGAACAGTTAGATAGGGCAACAAACGCGACCACAGAAGTCGATGGGCACCAGTCCCTGTGACCAGTCATTGACACTGCCTGCGGAACTGCTGAGGCAACCAGAGCCAACTCCATCTCCAGTGCAACCTGACCATCCGGTGGAGAGGATGATCGGATCCAAAAGCCGGGACAGCTTTCAAATTGTTGGGAATTCCAATGGTTTTGACATTTGTTGACCACGTGTTGACCACATTCAAATGGTTCCAATGTTGTTTTTGTCCTAAATTTCTTGGACTCACCGATCCGTTCTCCGGGTCGAACCGCCGAGGCAGCCGGAGCCGCCATCATCGCCCATCCGGCCAGAGTCTCGGGGGCACCATGTGTGACCCGTTCAAACCATGGATAAAACGTTCAAAACACCTGTAAAATCCTGTAAATAACACCTGTACTCCATCATTTGGGGCACGTTCCAGCGACTTGGATTCTGGGGAAAGTGTTCTGAAGAACTGAAAAAGAAACAACTCCCCAAGCTGTTGGTGGAGGCAAGCGTGGTACCACACCATTGATACACCTGATAGGCAGATGATATGTTTTGGCCATTTGTCCACACCGAGGCCAGCAGAGGAAACCAACTTTGAAGAACTCTTCGAGATATTGCGTGCAGGCCGCGCTTCTCATTGAATGAGTAGTTGATGGTTGGCTGTGGCAAGTTGTTTGGCGTATTCTGTATTCCAGCAAAAGCAATACTGTTGCTTGTGCAAACAAACATAATATACCCCTAAATTGTTCCGAGATGCTTGTTCACTGTCTAACGGTTTGGAAGTTGAAGCCTAATCTCGGTGCACGCATATGTGTTTTTGTTCACGTGTCACTGACAGGCTTCGACCCCCCAAGCAAGCCCTCAGAGCCCTCAGAGCCGGAGCAAGCGCTCAAACGGAGCTCCTTGGATGCGAGGGGGTGCTATGGGGTCCTGCTGGATTCACGTCTCGCAAAGCACAACCGAAGACTCGTCATTTGGACCTGCCTTCGGCTGCAAGGCGATTGCGCCAGTCCGGAGGCGCAGAAGGGCTCTCAAGGGGCCCAAGCAATTGAAAGGCCATTACAGTACCGTGGCAAGCCTGAATAATTGTGTCACAGTCTCACAGGAAAAGATAAAGAGTTTCTCCCACAAACATCCATACATCACACTGAGGAGAATGATGTTTGTGTAATTGCCAACCCGGTCATTGTACGCTGGCTATGCTGGCTGTAAGCGCGCGGGGGCAGTCTTGTGCATGCGCTTGGGGACTGTGCGTTGGCTGGAAGGACAAAGACAAGGCCAACTTGAGTGCCACTGTACATAGCATGGACCTTAGATTCTTTGCAAGACTTTGCGTTTGGTTCGTGGTAAGTGCAGAAGAATGGAGGAGATAGGAAGCACGTGGAAGCGCAATCAGGATGCTTTTTGCACACCGCGTGCTGTGCCGTTGGAAGAGCCATATCGATGATATCCTTGTAGCTTCTTGTTCCTAGTAGCGATGCCAGGAGCCCCTAGTAGCGTTCTTGCTCCTAGTAGCGATGCCCTTTGCTCCTAGTAGCGTCCTCTACATTTGCTGGTTTAGAACGCAAATGAGTCAGGTGGTGACTTGAAGATAACGAGCACTGTTTTTAAAAGCAGCGCAGTGGCTACGTGTGTCCGGTCGGGGTGCGATCCCGCTCGCTTCGGTTTTGTCGTGGTCCAGTCTGGTCTGCCGTTGTTCCTCTAGTTCAGCGTCCTGGAGACGTTTTGGTTTACGATTGTTTGTATCCAAGGTGATAGATGAATGATTCAGCCTCTAATTGTGACAAATGGTTCATGTATACAGTATACATATTATTCAATATTGATTATATAGATGATTAGATTCTGGATGGGGGGAACATGGACAACCAAACATTCAGAGATATATCATTATAAAGAGCATGCACCAGCTGTTCTGGCAGCTTTGCCTTCAAGGTCCACCCTCCACCAGGCCTGCGAAGCGCCCCCGGCCACTGCCTTAGAGCCTTAGACTGCTTGCGCCCCACTCCGTACATCGAAGCGTGGTGTGTGTTGCAGGTGAGGAGATTGGTCATGGCATTCCATTGAGTTCCCTGACAGATATCAGCATTGGTTGTATTTCGAGTGCGTTTGTTGGTTTTGACATGTTTGGGGTGTCTTGAACTTGAGGTGGAGGAACCAATCACAGACTGTCGAGCAGCTGAGGTCGGATGGAGTGCAGGCTGCTACAGTTTGGATTGGAGCCTTTGTTGGAGTCTGAAGACATTCATACACACTGCATAATACTGTATATATATATAGTATATACTGCATACTTGTACCACTCTGAATCTCACTTTGTTAGGGATTCTGACGTTTTTGATAACATATCAAGGTTTGAGGTGGAAAGAGCAGAGTGAGTGGAAGGAGGTGCGTTTTTGAGTTATTTCTGTTGGGATCCCGCCAGGCGTTGGTCCCGGCCTGGGGCGAATATGATGGCCCGCCACCGCCCGACAAGGCGCAGAAGTGAGGGAAGTCGCGAATCATGTTCAAGGGGCGAAGGTAGAGGAAGAGCATTGGAGGATTGCTTGTGATAGAGTCTTTGCATGTCTTTGCCGCTAGACGACAGGTGATTATGTTTTTGTGATTGCTTTCTGGGTTGGACATCATGTTGAGCAATGTCTTGATGATGGACAGGTTGCTGATGCTTATCGATTGCGTCTGGCTCAGCTGAAGTGACGACGGACGTACCCTCTTTCAGGTACAATCCGGTAGCAGCTGAATTTGCGCCAAACATCCACTTCTCCACCGCAGATTGAATGGTGTAAGCAAAGGAGAATAGCCGCAGAGTCTTGATAATAAAAAGGTACCTTGATATTAAATTAAGCAGCAACAAGACGTGACAAGACGTGAACGGCGTGCCCAACATCCGATCCAAACCGACTGAATGGCGACTGAACGGCGGCCCACTGCGGAGGCTGAATCTCTCCTTGTCATCCTCACGCAAGGAGGTGCAGAAGAGATTTCGACACCTCGCCCGCGGCTGCCATCCAGACAAGGCGAGGTACGACTGGGGTGAGCATTCTAGCTAAAGCATGCTAAAGCCTATACCCAAAAGAGTGAAAAGTCCAGAACGTTGGCTCTGTGCATGGGTAAGGGAATATCCAGCTCAACTGCCCAAAGATCCGTGTCATTTCTAGATGAAATCGATCCTTTTTTTTCTACAATTGCGTGGGTTAGATGAGGATTTCGCACGGTCTCTGCCCACCGTGCGTGCCCACGTCGGTCCGATCTCGCAAGGCCAAGGGAGATCAGCGGGTGACCCACGGGACCGAGCACGGGACCGGAAGAAGGACCGGAGACCGGTCGGCTGAGGACGGTCGGAGGTGAGGTGTTGGGAGTAGCGTCCTTGCTCCGTTCGTAGCCAGGAGACCCTAGTTTAGTAGCGTCTCCTTTGAAGAGCTGCTGAGATCGACTCTTTTTCGACAAACATTCACGAGAAATGGGAGGGTGCGCTGGCGCTGACCCCCTTCCTGCCTGTGGCTTGATTCGTTTGCCATGCTGAGGCATGGTAGAAAGAAGTAACGGAGCCACTCGATTTGTGGAATCAAGCACCAGGCTCATAGCCAGAAAACCCCACACAGTCCAACTCTGTGGCGGACCATTTCCATTCCATCCGTCCATCTCCCAATGTTCATGCGCCATTGAAGTTGTATAAGATAAACATGCCTTGGAATTCGTTTGGGCTCGTTTTGAGTCACCCGCTTGATGTGTTTCAGACATTTCCAGGTACGTGCCACACGAATGTTTCGGCAACTTCAAGATGCCAAGGTTTTCGGGTGGAGCTGGGGCCTGGCAGGGCCTGGCAGGGCCTGGGGCGCTGTTCTTTTCATGTTTTTTCCATGACCCTGGGACGCTTCTTGACTTCCTCAAATAGATGTTTGGAAGATGTTGGAAGAAAGATGAAGAAAGAATACCAGCAGCCCTTGGATTCTGCAATCCCTGCTCTGTAGATTATTGCAATCCTGTTTTCGTCTCCCAACCTATAGGTGTTTAACACCACATCAGCTTGAAGATGGCTGGAATGAAGCCTGAGCTGACCACACCCCAAGCTCCCAGTAATATTGTGGAGATACTCATTTTCTTCCTTCAGTACCGACAGAACCTAGTTCGGACGAACCAACGGACCCAATCCCTCCAGTTTGCTCTTTGCCTGCGCGATGAGCAGGGCCTCATCCTCTCCTGGCTGGATCAGCGTGCAGCGCCGCAGTTGGAGGAGTTCGGCCCCCAGTTCAGAACAAGGCGGGCAGATCCTGAAAATGAATGGGCGGTGCTCAGGGAATGCCCAACTTGTATTGGGGCGGGCTGGGAAGCGACTGCCGGGTGTCGGGGAGTTCTGGAAAATTCCACTGTACACTGTACATATATAAATCAAAATGCAAATTAAAGTGCAATGTACATCAACTACGCGAAACTACAGCATAGGCGGACACGAACTTCATGGATGCAACTAATTCGGCGCAGTTGGAACTGGAACTGGTTGACCTGCCTGGAAGGTCAAGCTACACTGTCTTGGGGCTCGAAGTTTCGCGCCATCCCCATCTCTTTTGGTGGACTCTGACAAGGTTCGTTCGACTCCTGAATTTGATCAGGTCCGACGACTCCTTCTGCTTCGACACTGATGATGAGTTCGATGAAGACGCCTTGAGGCAGATTGAGCTGGGAGACTGAGAAAAATGATGAAAATGGATGTTATATAATGTTATATACTCAGCCTTCATGTTCCTCCAAAGCATCACATCTTTTTGATCCTTTCTGAAAGGTGTGAATTGCCCCATGCAGGCCTGATGACGTGGTCTTCGGAGAAGCCGGGGATGCTTGCACCCTAGAAGCTTTGGAAGGTCCTATGCCGCTATAAATTGTAGTGCCTATAATGCAGTATAATGTGGTACATATGTTAGTCATTTGGATTGCGCCATGCACTTTGAAACTAGTGTACCTGGTGAGGATTAGCCTATGTTTGTTTTCTGGGCGTTCACTTGAGCTGTTCGTGATTTAAAATTGGCAATGACATAGCGAAACCCGCGCATCACTGGAGCGACTGGAGGTCATGGGCGAGTTTGAACACGATGGATCTGGAAGCGAGCTTGAGCGTGAGGAGGAGAAGGCGCGGTCGTTCATGTTAAGATCAACGCTGCAGAGTCAGAGTAGTCAAGGTTTGTTGAGATTAGTTTACCATCAAGAAGGTCCAATCAGCTTCTTTTTGGAGAAAGATAGGATTGCGATGTTATTGGCGCTTTGGAATTTTGACCACCAGAAGCGGCCTCAAAAACATGGAGAAGGAAAAAATTCCTTTGCCTTCTGTCAAGAGATATTTGAAGATGTTATACAATATAGTGAGCAATGTTTGTTTGTTGTTTCCAGTTAAGCATCTTCCAGCTAGGACTCATACTCTGTTTCCTTCTTTTGCCATAGCTTCAGGGTATTCCAGTTCTGACTATATATATAATATATATATATAAGTTTTTACTTTTGCGCAACGCAATGTGCAAGAGGCTGTGGGTGTCCATCGAGCAAGGGGAGACTCTCCTGCTACCGAATCTAGCAGGGAGCCTTGGAACCGGAAAGCTTCAAAGACATACTAAAAAGATCAGCTTCTTGTTACTACAGGTGAATCGATTCCAAGGAGATTATCAGAAATTCAAGATCTACTGTAAAGTGTTCATGCCAACCCTGGAGAAGACCCAGATGAACAACCCTACTAAACAATAACAACGACATGTCGATAAGCACCCTGTAGACTCGGTGTATTTGGATCGCGTTCAAAAGAGCCTACCCAGAAAAAACAAACGAACGTGATGTGCCACATGAGCAACTTTCTTTTCACATCTTCGTTTAGAAGCAGGCTTCATTCGACTACGGTGATTCTGTAAGGCAGCGCTCGTTGGCGCCACCTTCTTTAGGATATGACCACGATTTGTTGGCGGATGTGCGGTGTGTTGCCACAGGGTTTGGACAATAAAACTCTCTTCTTCTCCTTCTCGTCCTCCTCTCTTCCCGCACTTTGCCACTTCCTCACTCACTCAAGTAACAAGTAAGTACTTGTTGTTTTTTTTGGTAGCCGCGTGCTAGCACTGCACTGGACGACGGTCCACTTCATGACCAATGGTACACGGCTCATTTGGTTTAGATTCATTTTAGCAAACATGAGTTCCACAATGTTCCTCAAGTCTGCCGAAGCTCTAGGTCCAATGGCGGGGGTTGATGCGGAATGTTATGTACATTACATATATTATATTGTAATATGTTATATTGTTAGATTTTAGGAATTATCAGTGCACTTCAAAACCTAATCCTCAATCCTTAGCCGCTTTGCGGATTAAAGGTTTGTGGATTACATTGTTGGGGAGCAAAATCAACCTGAAAGTGTGGTCAATCTGACGCATCTTGTTTGGAGGACTAAGTGACTAAACTCTTGTTGCAGCGCTCAGGGCTCCACTTGTGTTTGTTTAGCTGACCTTTGCCATGGGAAAGGCATTTGCCGCCTTTTATATCATGTTGAAGAAGGATGACAAGCTTGAGGGGTTGAAGGGCTCAAAAAGCTGCATGGCAGAGGCCAGCAGGTTGTGGCAAGAGCTTAGCAAGGATGACAGAAAGCACTACGAAGCTGTGGCTACTGGACATGAGTCAGCTCAGCCAGCTGACGCAGCTCTGGAGTCGGATGTGGTGGATGTTGCTATGGCACCGAAGCGTGCACCGAATGCCTACCAGGTGTGGTACAAAGAGTCTCCCGAAGCTACTGCTCTCCCAACCAAAGACAAGATGAAAGAGGCAGCCAAGTTGTGGAAGGCCATGAGTGCAGAGGCAAAGCAGCCGCTTGACGAGAAGGCAGCAGGCCTCAAAAAGGACGAGGTGCAGAAGCAGAAGGTGTTGGAAGAGGAAGATGCCAAGAAGCGCGCGTGTGCCTGCCAGGTGTGGCTACTGCTAACCCTGTTCTTTCACAGAGGCAAGTTGGCAGCCGATCATCGCAAGCGTAAGACTTTGGAACCCAAAGACCTACGGCTCGGAGAAATGTTGTCCAATGAGGAGAAAGTGGTCGAAAGCTTCCAGAATTGCCAGAATGCTGACTTGAATTCGGCCAGATCCGCGGAGCTTGTCAGCCGCAAAAAGCGGAAGACCGATATTTTTGCCGTGCGGTCTCCCAAGACTCCAAGCTCGAAAGGCAGAGCTCCAGCCTCGCCCCTTGTTGACGAGTAGACAGCTTGGAAAATACTAGTGACCGCTTGAACTTGACACTACCACCTCTCAAAACGGTTGTTGCTGGTTAGGGCGTGGCTTAGCGTGACGAGCACGCTGCGACTCAAAGAACTCTGTGGGTGCCGACTCTCGACGAGTCCTGTGGGGAACAAAAGATGCGCCTAGCCCTTCGCAATCTGAAGTCATTTCACAGCTTCACATCATTTCAGACCCATATATCTCCAAGTAGACTCACTCGTGTTTACCCCATCACTGTGTGCTGGTTGTATGTACCCGGATTAAGGATTAAGCCGGATTAGGCCTCCCAAAAGAATTAACGGACTCAGGTTTAGTTTTAGCACGCGGGAGATTTCGGAGCAGCCAGATTATCTTATATTTGGCGGCTGCCAAATTGTTTTTTAGGCTCTTTTAGCAAACTTGGTGGGGGCCTGCTTCTGAATCTCCTAGAGATTTTAACCGCATAATTAACCCGCATGTATTTTGCACATGCAGGTTCCAAAATGAAAAAAGAAAACAACAAATACATAGCATGCTATTCGAGAGCTGCTGGAGCTGCGGCTGCCGGACTCTTGCAGTTGGGTTTTTTCTGCGATTGGGTTAAGAGTTGTTCTTACTGTTCATGAGTGAGATCGCTTTCATCTCTGTCCACCCTGCTCTCGCTGCACGTTTTTCACAGCCATATAATCGGTCACCCATCGAAGAGTAGATGAGTACAGATGTCTCCACTGCTTTGGCTGTTCACAGAAGGACCAGGTTCGAGAACCACATGCGCCAAGGTGAGGAGAGTGCTGATGGCAAGGTCTGGTGCTGTGCACCCCAACGTCTCGCACCAACGATGCGTCAACAGAGTTTTCTTAAAGTCGTAAAACGTTTGAATTGGATGCCATCGCTATTAGATGCTATTAGGTTGGAGGCCATCGCTAGTAGGTTGTTTCTAGTGTAGCACCCCCACGAGTATTTCTTCTAGTGTAGCGCAACCTGGTGTTCTCCCCGTACAGGCTGAGACCGCCTTGGCCCTCCGCTGCAGAGGTTTGATCCGCTCCCAGGAGAGTTCAGAAAGTGGTTGGACCGGCTGACCCCATCGACAGTGGTAGACTGTGCTAGACCATGATAGCTATCCAATATCCTTGGACTGGTCAAGCCGCAGGACAAAGTGCAGTAGGTCTGCTTCATTTTAGCCACGCATTCAAAGGTTGGACTCGGCGGCGCACAAATTGGTCAGACCAGGTGATTCTGAAAGTAAGTAGCCGTCCTTCCAGGGTGGAGGCCATCACTAGTAGGTTGGAGGCCATTGCTATTAGTCTAGCGGTCTAGCGTCTCCCAAAGAATACACATAAAAGGCGGTTTAGGTATGTTTAGGTCTTGGACACAACGACCCCTTACTGCTGGCAAGAACGCCTGGCCGGGGCGACAGAAAACGAGCGACAACTTACCGATTGGAGGACGCACCGCTGGTCCAGGCCACCGCGCCAGAGACTGAGCTGAGTGCTTGACAGACATGTTTTGATCCGTTGAGTTGACCATGGTTCACCATGAGTGGTTTTGACCCAGAAAATGGTGCAGCTCCAAGTTATTCTGTAGCGATATCATAGGATGTGCTTAATCTCCATCAGGTCCACCACTCTGAGAACGAAACATTACTACTAGGAACGCTACTAGGGGCTCCTGGCATCACTACTAGGAGCAAGGACGCTACTAGGGGCTCCTGACCTTACTACTAGGAACAAGAACGCTACTAGGGGCTCTTGGCATCGCTACTTACAACATGGGAGGAACTCTGCACGCGTGAAACCTTTCAAACGCCTGCAAGTAGTGGGACCGTTTCCGTGTTCAGGCGGCACAGGACTTTCTTCGGTAGAGGGATACATTGTCCGAGGTTGAGCCATTTCATGGCCAACAAGAAACCGATGTTCCGCACCTGCCAGTGGCTCAGATGTGCAAACTTGCAAGATTTGTGCGTTCTTTGGGGTCGTGTTCAATCCCAAACCCGTGGTTCTGGGTTGAATGGAGCTTCTAAAACAGCTCCAGTCACCTCAGGTGCGTACGCCAACCCGTGGTTCCGAGGCGCCGAGTGCTTTCGACACAAGGCCAGCAAAGGATCGGACCTGTGTTCGGAGCCCCGAAGATCGGAAGCGTTGGGAGCGAGCGGGCGGGCCAGTTGTTTCTGCGGATCCCTTCTCCAGGTAGAGAGACACTGCGGAAAGGAGGCTCCGCTGATTGAACTGGAGAAAAGCCAAGCTAGTTGCAGCCTGGCTGGTTTTAGGAGCTCTTAGTCGCTCAGCCTGAAGCCATGAGCCCAACTACTCGACGTCTTTGGGTAGCAGGCCTGGTGCTTGCTGTTCTCACCTCGAGGTTCATCCCAAGGACTGTTGTGCCTCCTGTACGGGTCATCATTACCGATGTGGACGGCACCCTGATGCCTTTCGCCACGAGCACCAAGCTCTCTGCACGCAACGCAGCCGCCTTGGCATCCGCAGTTCAGCTCGGCTGCCGGGTCTCTGTCGCTACAGGTCGCATTCCAGGACCGTGGTATGAGGCTTTGTGCTCCCAGATGCCTGAGTTGTTCGGCCCAGGTGTTTTCTGCAATGGTGCGCTCGTGTTGGATGGCCGCCAAGTGCTACATTCCACGCCTTTGTCACTCGAAGCAGTTGCTGCAGTGGTCAAAGCCACAGCAGGTGGCTGCGTGGGTGGTCGGAAGATCGGCGTGTTGGCCGTCACAGAAGTCGAAACAGGTTATGAATATAGCGAGCTTGCGCCTGATGGACCGAGCTGGGTCACTCAAATGATCGAAAGAGCTGGGGAGAGAGTCAGACCTGAGCCGTCGCATGCGCATCTTTTGGATCAGGAAGTCTACAAATTTGTGATGTTTACTGCAGACAGCGAGGATTGGGCTGCAATGGACAAGGTCATTCCAATCCTTGGAACAGTTCTCCGGCCTGCTGATGCAACCATTTTGGATTGTGGTGGAGGGCACTGCGAGATTTTGCCGCCCATGGTCAACAAAGGCAGGCAGAAGAGAGATGAGAGAAATTATCGGAGATCGTCAATGGGATATGGTGGGTCAAAACAGCCAGCTGACCGACGTGTCCTTTCCTCCATGGACTTTGCGGGTGACCGACTTGTTTCGTACACTTATCTTATATGATACTAGTATGTTCAGGTGTTGATCTACATCCATATTGTCTATTTTGATGCCACCCTCAAAACCAACATGCTCAAACTGATGCCCAGTGCATCGGCAATCAGACAAGCAACACAGTTGATCTTGCTTTCCTTCATGAACTATCGCAAATTTTGCACAGCGTCGCATCCCCCCTTTGGTTATTATGTCAATATGATCATATTATGATGTATTACGTGCTTATGTCACAACCTTAGTAAGACTTCTACATCTCCAATCGCAGATGGCTGGGGCACCATCTGAGTGGCATCCCCTTGGCCAGGTGCGGGTGTCCAGCATCTCCTCTCCGCTTTGGACGCGGATTCCTCCGAGGCCATGGCCTTGGGTGATGCGGTGAACGACGTGGAGATGCTGCAGCTGGTGGGCCGAGGGGTGGCCATGGGTCGCTCGGATGCACACCGAAAAATACCGGTTGGGGACGGTCATCAGGGAGGGTTCCCAAAAAGCGGTTGTGAGGCATCTCATCACATGCAGCAAGAGCTGCCCTGGCGAGACATGCCCTCCAAGAGTTGGCTGGAAAGAAAACAAGGGGGATATGTTGTCTCTTGGTTTATCAACTATATCTAGTAACAAGAAGATACTAGGAGCAAAGGCCATCGCTACTAGGAGCAAGTAGCTACTAGTATAAGCAATTTCAACAGAGCACCATTGAGATTAATTACTGATTACTGTACATACCTCGTTCAAATTGCGAACGCCTCGCTGGATGAGGTGATGGAAACCCAGTGGCTCAGGCAGCTGCCGATGTGGTGGTTGCCCCACATACCGAGGATGGAGTCGCAGAAGCCATCGAGCGCTATGTATTGCGAGGTGCTGCGAGAGAATATGGTATAGATTTAATCAGTCAGGCATTGTTCTTCTTGAGTATTAGAGTTCAGTTATGTTTTCCTGATTTGACGGGCTGTGCATGTTTCAAAAGGTGTGGAAGTCACAAATTAAGACTAGACTGGGTCACCGAGTTCTTTACACAAGAAAAGACATGTGGCAAATCCATGTGGGGTTCCCTGTATCCAGGTCGCATCCAGTAGATAGTAGATATGATACAGATGATCCGTGCTTGATGCTGCTTTCTTCAACTTCCTCTGAAGCCATTGCAGTGGCTTGTGGTGGCGCTTCCAGCTGGATTTCAGATGAGCTGCATCCCTTGTCACAATCAGCCAGCTGTTGAATCAGAAGCCTGAAGCATGATATTCAGAATTGCTGAGCACTGGAAGGCAATGACGACAACGGACAGTACGTATTGAGGTGTTGGTTTTTAAAGACCTCAGGTCCAAGTCTGCAAGGAGCCGTATTTCGCAGGTGCAGCGATGAAGCTTTGATCAACCTGTGTTCAATGCTTTGGTGCCAAAGCGCCCAAATGCACCCACCGCCAGCTGCCCTCTTTGACAGCACCCCAGCCAGTGCCAGGCTGTATGGTCAGAACTTGGAGTCTCTTAGATGGCCAATGGCCCCAGCCGGTGCTTCACAGGGTCCCTGCATCACGTCCCCCGAGCCCCCGAGGTTCTTCCTGCGACCGAGAGCAGCGACAATTGCAGAGATGCTCGAAGCTCAGCAGCCGGGTGTCAAACAAGCATACCCCTCTCATCCACTTGAAGCAGTTGAGAAGGTCCTTTTCACAACATAATTAGCCAGTTTTGTGCCAGAGAAACTCATAAGTATGCACACATTCATGTTGATTTTCATTCACCTCACCTCCCTCCAGTTTATTGACTTGATCTGACCAGCTCCGACCGCAGATTTGGGACGATCGAGATGAACATAGATAAGCTGATCTGATTGAGCTGTGTGCACAGATGAAAAAGCGTTGAAGGTTCGTTTCAGTTGCCAAATGTATGCTTTTGGTTTTGTGAGACTTAGCTCTTTTTGACAATGAATGGCAGCTGGTTGCTCTTTGTCCGAGAGGGGCTTTGCCGCTTTCTTGCGAAGGACATGAGAGGTTTCATGTTGTCATGCCCAGGCGGACATAGGCGGACTGTGCCGCCCTTCGCACATGTGTTTGTTTTGACCAGAATGACCACCCAATAACAGCCGGTCGGTACGTGTATCCTTATATCACTCTGTCACTCTATGTTGTCCCGTTTGAGTTGAATATCTCTCTCCGATCTCTCCCCGCGCAGCACGAGAGCCTCTCCTACCTGGTCCTTGATGCTGCCAACGGCCCCGAGCAGATCCAACAGGCAAGTCCTGAGGTGAAAATGGTTGTTCCATGTTCCACTGATGCTAAAACGCTCAAGACTTTTTGGACGAGAACCATGGAGTTTGATGTGATAAGTAGGGCACGTGCCGCGGGTCACGGGTTCCCTTCCATTGTGTTTGCAGCAAAGTCAAAACAAAACAACATCCGATGCACCATGCACTGCATCACGTCTCTCAGTGGACCCTCCGAGCCTCTGGAGACTTCGTAAGACTTCGTGTGCGTTCCATTCAAACCGTCAGGTCTGCCGCAGTATCCTGGCGTTTCACGAGGAGACCCGATTTCCGGCCCTGCGGCTCCTCTGTCGTCGGACGCGTTGGGGCTCGATGCCGAGGACTTGGACAAGGACGGCGGAGATGCCTTGACCGGCGCATTTCAGGTGCAAGGCCGGGATGGCCATGAGTCCATATTGAAATGATTCATTATATGTCATTATATGATCAAACTAAATTGACATGCCCAAGAACCCGGAGACCCTAAACCCTTTCTACAGGCTTAGTTCCGCTCTGACTCTCGCTTCCTCTTTTCTCGCTCTATATAGACAGCACCAACCAAATCTGAACGCGGTGGTGCCACAAGTAACTGCCACCAAGATTGGGAGCAGAGACATTACATAAATGTTTGATGCTTTTGATGGTTGTGCAATTAATTGAAAGCAGCATCCGGCTCATCCAGATGTGCGGCCTCAAGTCTTTCGATCTGATGCCGGTTTGCCGCAATGCCAGGAATCCTGTGCCGAGCCCCTGAATATGCTGATGGACTTCTAGAGGCTATGGCACCAGATCCGTTTGGCTTCTGCGTGCATGCGAAGTGAGCTTTGGTTCCTTGAGGTGCTGGTACTTGATCCATCTAAAATCACACCATCAGTCTTTCCCATACACTCCCATAATTACGTGGCATAGAGGTTCAGTTCACGGCCCAGAGCTGGATTGCCATTATGCCAGCAGACAGGCCGCAAAGTGAAAAGCCAGGTGAGCCGTAGCTTGATGTGGGGCAGAGCCATCGTGGAGGAGGCCACCTGGGTGGTGGCACCACAACTTGCTGGGACGTTGCTCAGATACCAGTCAGACATCATGCTAGTGGGCAGTTGGAGGAGAAGGAGGAGGAAGGAGGAGGAGCATCGGTAGTTGTAGTGATGCCACTTGTTTGCCACTTCACTTCAGCTGCGGAGTTAGGATATCATCGACACTGCTTTATTGACTGACAGTCATGCTAAATAGAGGAACAAACCAGACTAAGTAATACTGCATATACTAACTATACCTTGATAGATCCAACTTAACTTAACCATGTTTTTCTTTTGTTCAAAGAGAGTTTTTTGTTTTTATGCAAAACAAAGTAGCTCAGAGGCATGGCTTGTTTGAAGTGTCTACAAAGACTGGATCGCTCAGACGGCCTGTGAGCTGGCTGCCAGCAGCTGGGAAGCTTTGGAATGCAGGTGCGCAGATGGTGACGTTGATTGTGCGGATGAAATGACATGACAGGTCATTGGCCTGGAGCCATGGATGATCCTTTTTTGAATCAATGTTCATCTAAATTCATATTTGGTTTGCACGTGGATTCCGCGTGGTTTCGCCAAGGCAACTGCGTGTGCTTGCTCGAGTGGCAGAGCAGCCGCCAGAGCAATGGGCTTGGAGGACTCAAGCCATGCACACCTCGACAGGTCTGAAGAAGGGTCGACCTTTTCAACCACTGCATCGACTCATTGTCCTGCACTTCATTGCACTTCATTGTCTCATTGATGGTTGGTGGCAAGGGAAGGCAGAAAAGAAACATGAGAGACACCTGAGAGGGAAGATGCCTGCAGGAACCAGGATCGAGCCCTCCTGAATGGCTTACAGCCCCTTCCACAGGTGAACCCTCGTGTGGAAGCCCAGGATTCGGGAATTCGGCACCAAGGTGCAATTCTCTGTGTGGCTGACAGATGCTGTATCGACTGAAGACTCACAGGGTTCACGTGTGTATACGTGTGTGTAGCGCATGGTAGCAGCCTGTTCAGAGCCAGGTCACACTGGGGAAGACCCAGTGACACACCAGGCGATCATTTTGACATTTGGTATTATTACCATGTGCAGAGATGTGCAGAACAGTTTTTGTGTTTTGTGAGGTGATTTGCTGAACAAAGAGGCCATCACAGCTGTGGGACACTGGCACACCCAGCTAAGATGCAGGTATCAACAGGATTAAACAGGTACCGTCAGGATCCCTAGAGATATGTAGCTTAGCTTCAGCCATCTGAAGCCTTCAAGTGATGGAAAGCTGCAAGGAGAGAGCCGGCAGGGCGCTGGGGCCGCAGGGTCCGAGCTTTCCCCTGAATTCACTGCCATGTCTCGCAGGCCCTGCGTCCAATGCCCAGCTCCTTGACGTCCTTCGCCGCCTCGTGGGGATGCCAATCCTCCACTCCGCCGAACGGCCAGGGCCGTGACCACGCGCCACGAGGACGGCTTTGGAATTTCGACACAACGTGGCTCCACATGGAGTTGCCCAGAACACCCGGCTACCAGTGAAAGCAAACAGGGGAGAGGAGTGAGAGAGAACTATGAGAACATCTATACAATTACATTTCGGATTCGGAGGTCAGCCTCTCTGATTGAAGCCAAGAAAGCTATTCAATGATGATCTGAAATCATCTAACATTTCATGTTTGCAATGTCTTTGCAGTCAACATTCTTCAAACCACAAAACGGAGAATGATTGCCAATGATCACCAGCTTCGCTTTGGATCCTGAATGCCTCAGGAGGTGGTGCTGCAGAGCTCCTGCTCCATGGTCCCAGTTCGCTCTCAGAACTGGGGCCGCAGCTGGCACTGAAGGCCTCGCTGCTGCAGGTTGTTGGACAGCTGTTGACGGGGCCTGAGAAGGACTACGGAGGGATTCGCAGGGTGCGGTCAGTGGAATTGGTTGACTTATGTTGTCTTATCCAGTGCCATCCATACCATGTCCATGTGTGCACATCAGCTCCATCGAAACAGACGAAACCGACATATTCAGCATGATCATCTTTTAGATGCTTCCCAAAACGGCCCAGAAAGGTTCTCAGGAAGCGCTCCCAACATCCCAGGAGCCTGTGGCCAAGTCTATGGCCTTTGCACATGCGGCCTTTGAGCTCTTGGGTGGCGAACTCACCATGGCTGCAGCAGCTTCAGCCGCCGCCGTGGACGCAGCTGCTGATGGCAGCTGCTGGGGCAACACCGAGGGCGCCTTCAGGACGTGGCTTGGAGAACTAAGTAATCCAAGTGTGGTGAGTTTCCAGACACTTCAGGAATTGATGGATTTCTTGGCCATTCGAGGTTTGTGAACCTTTGCAGCTACAGCTCCTGCCACTCTGCCATGATGGTGCTTCAATCTGGGGCTGAGGCAAGCTGCATTGTACTAATCGATGTGCTTTAAGTCCTTAAGTTAAAAATCAGTTGATGCAGCAGTCAACGCAAGGCATCAGAGCAGGTGGCCTCGAAATTGGAAGCGATCACGTCGGGCATAAGCAGCGTGCTGCTGTGTTTGCGGCCCAGTGACTTCGCCCCACCATCTCGAGAGGAGAAAGAGAAGGAGGACGCTCGGCAGGGCGAAAGGGTCAGTGCATGGGGCGAAAGGGTCGACGGCGACTTTCAGCACGCCCTGCGAAGCACGTTGTGATCTTCGTTTGTTGATGTTCCCAACGTTAAAAGTGGCCCTGTTTCTTGTTTCCGTGCAGAGCACCCGCGGCATGCGGCATGCGGCATGCGGCCCTGTTTCGACCATTCTCTCCTCCATTCTCGTGCGGCAGGACGTCTGGAGTCCCTATGTGTTGGGCTCCTTTGGCCATCGGGCACTTGGGCTTTGGCTCAGCAGCCTCACCGTGGTGATCCCCGTGCTACTCTGGCTGGGAACTGCATTGCCAAAACCGGCCAAGAAGGCCAAGGCAGCTGAAGTCCTGCTGATTACGTGGATTCACAAGCAGGTCATTGCCACATCCTGCAGCCATGATAAAACAATACAAAATTGGTTCGCAACATCAGTCCCATCATCTATCTTAGATAGATATATAATTGTTAATTAACTATAGCTAAGCTAGAACCTGGAAAGCTGATGAAAGCTGTTCAACTTGTTCTTTCGGAAATCAAACACATCCTGCCCATTTGCCCAAATATATCATATCCAAGAACTCCATCGGAACGACCTAACCTTTGTGTTTTGATTGCCGCCTCTATTTTTCAATACTAAATCAACATGTATCCGAATAGTTTTTTGCTAGGTCAGGCCTTTTAACTAGATTCCGACTAGAATCGCCTCCAGTTGAGCTGCTGCCAGCGACACGCCGCGTTTACACACGCACTTTCCACCGAAGCCTGCTGATGGAAACTCTATAAGCGAAGAATATTGCAGTCATGTTTTAGCTAGCGGGCTGAGAACCGCGCTAGTAGTCGTGCAGTTTTTATCAAAGCAATGCTCATGTTGTCACACGTTGCGTCAAAGTCAGAACCTTTCATTTTTACTGTAGATAGCAGTGTTTTCTCATGTTTCCTCAGTGGCAAGAGCTTATATGTTTATGTTGCCTTCTTGCATTTTTTGCTGAAATTAGCTTGT